TACAGGTCGTTAATTTCATAATGCTTCTGTACATGACATTAAATTCACCCCCCCCCTTTTGAACTTCTGTTTCTGGTAGAATGCGTAATTTTCGAGAATAATTAATGTCTCAAGTGCACTTTTCTAATCTGTTGTACATCCTAACTTTCATGGCGCCTCACTAATTATCCGTTATCCTACTAACTTTACATCATCACGCTCGATGACTTTGTTAACGACGAGTTCATACATCACTCCAGATGTCAAAGTCTTTTTCCGGTCGGCTGAGTACCATTGATTAACACAAACATATCTTTCAACATTTACCATTCTTTGCTTGTAAAACGACCGGAAGAAGCTTCTACAAAGTAAATATCAGAAATGTACGAAAGTTGGCTGATTATTAAATATTCTCAGTCAGAAATAAAAATGATCTTTATCCTTTTTGGTCTCAGTATTTGCCGTTTAACTACTTGAAAGTCAATAAGTATACTTCAAAATTATGTATAGATAGATTAAAAAAAATACAATATACATATAAACTTCTTGTCCAAATTTTTTATTCATATACAAATATCTTAGTATGTTTTGGCATGATGTGCATGTAGATAAATATTGCTCTTCGATTCGAACTCGTTATATTGCATTATATGACTTGGGCATGTGCCAAAATAATCTTTACCATTGCTCAACGCGCATGCGTATGCATGTTTTCCATAGTAGGTGAATTTTATCGAAAGGAGACCGAAGTCCGCCTGGAGGAGTCACCTGTTTTAACCACTCTCACCACAATACAGTAGTGTGTTGTCTGTCAGTCTGTCATTAGACACTAAAATGACGTCACATAAAGGATGCTTAACGTTACAATATGTACTGTCGTGACGTCAATAAAACGTGCACATGCTAGGAATCACGAGAAGAATTGTACACTCTGTGGGATACAACTAAACATGACATATGAACTTCAAAAGCAAGAAATAAAAATATTCGTTACTCTTAATTTTGTTTTTATTTACTATTGAAACAGAACACTTTCGGGGACCCTGCAGAAGTACACCTAGTTGTATTGTATGGAAATATAAACCTTGATTAATTATGATATTTTACAATACACAGGGCTAGGCAGTGACCTGTGTATTGTGTTATTAAACGAGCGAACACATCGCTAATTCCGAAGACATACTATTGAAGAATCAATATTTCTAAACACTCTTTATTATAAATCGTATTGTGATCACAACTTGTAAGGTTTTAGTAATCAGTCCATTTAATTACACTGCAATACCTGCCTTAGACCTTTTTATAAACTATTAAGTAAAAGCAGTGACGTTTCCTTCGTTAAAATTACTTCATATCATGTCATTGACAATATTTGGTAGTTCTCCATGACAGTGAAAACACGTTCTTATTTTACTATGAAATTAAATTCACGGGACATGTGACACAGCTGATCTTGAAGATACACAAAGATACGGCAAATTTAAGTTCTGATAATGCAAGAACCGGGTTTAGATACCCATAGTGGTCAGAGTACAGATAATCATCGGGTAGCTTTGCGCTTAACAACAAACAAACAAATACTCACATTGTACGCATGTGAAATATCTTTGGATATTTGCAGTGTTATACTCAGTTTATCTACATGTACTCTGAACCGTGCCCTAAAAATATACTACTTAAGCAATTCGAGGTTAATCACAGTTTTCTCTATTCTAACATGACACAACAGAACTACTGTTATTAAATAGTTTAAGTAACACTTTTTAGTTCACTTTTATGCAAACAGGTGGCTAGGTTTTGTAATCCCGAAACCTTTTCCGAATCCCGCGATTATGAGATTTTAGTGGCTCAAATCCTGGGATACCGTCCGGATTCTAAAGATTTTGTTTTATTACATTCTATTTTATCTTAATGAAAAATAATTAAACTATTTGTAAAACTAAGCATCTTCACAAATAACTTTGTTAATAAGATTTTTATTTTACTTTATGTCTGCTTGGGTCGGATTTCTTTCATATGTGTATTATCACCATCCAGAAAAGGAGTGTGAACAACTGAGCTTGAGTACACTATTAGCTTTTAATGAAGTTTAGCCGAGAAATCACTTAGGCTAAAAAATGTTCATGGAATTTGGGAAACTCCTTTCGTGATTAGTCCAAGATAACTTGGGCGCCTTTCATATTTAAAAATTACTTGCCCGAGTTAATTCGGGCAAACCATTTCTCGCCGAATTTTTAATTACTTGCTCGAATTTATTCACATGTTATCATGTATTACAATCAGTGTTCGCTAGATGGCACCAAAAATTCTTTTTGTGCTGATCTCTGTCGGATTTTTTCTGAATTATGGAAAAAGCATTCCTATTTTTAACTGTTGTCTCATCGAAATAATATATATATACCACGTATAAATCCAGATATATAACATTTATTTATCAAGTATATTTTGTGCATAAATATAACAACAGATCATAAAAGAACATTTTCTTTCATCAATATATAAGTACAGGCTATCAAAAACTGAAATAAAAAAATCTGACTTTTTTTAGCTCATTTCCATAAACATAATAATAAAAGCCTGAAAATATCAATGACACCCCCTCGGCAAGAGTTTGTACAATCTTGAAAATCCCGGGATTTGGGGAGCCCCCATTAGCATACCGGATCCTGAGATTTGAACTCCTACGGGTTATATAAAGGCGAAGGAAACTCGTTGTGTTCTCAATCATCACTCTGAAAAACATACTCAGATTGATAGTGAAACATGCCAAGGCCTCAACAAAGATATTTGAGCAATTCTGTGATGTTGGCTAGAAGCTGGTAAAACACAAGTCGATGCAGAATGACTACAAGTTTCACCAAGTGCGGTTAACGTGATATAGATTCACTTGTAAAAACCCCTATTAAAGTTGGCCAAATGCCTGTAGAGATTAGACCGTTATCGACAACCCCGCAAGACCACTGCTTTGGGAGAATATGGGCTCCAAGTAATTATCTTGTCTCCCCCCCCCAAAAAAAAACAACAACAACAAATCAACAGCTCAGAGCAACAACTGAACAAATAAGCATACAAACGTTCAGAAATATATCTTTAGTATTGTCAAGAACACGTGGATTGGTTAAAGAACATATGCGCAAGTGTCTTGCTCGCGCATGAAATACGCTTCACATTGCAACCAGTTACAAGACAGATTTTGAGAGTGTGCGGGAAGAGATCCAGCCCCAATTTCGCGAAAGAAAGTCGCGCATGTGGCTGTAGTGGCATACTGATTTGGTAAAGGATCAGTATTAGAGGTCACACTGACCTTTATGTATTATGAATCCATGAATTAATAAAGAATTTTGAAGTAAAAGTAAAGAACAGTGTATGATAATATGTCAGTCACACTATATCCGACGAGGCATTTCGCCTAATACCAAAGTTCTTCAGGCCAGTTAGGATACGACAGATATAGTGGCTGAGACACTTATTCATATTAGCAAACTACTTGAGACAAACTGTTACGGTGTAAAATTGATTAAATTGGTATATAAAATGTAATTTTCCATCAACATATCAGAAGTAGGGTAAATATCCTGTTATACAGTATAGGGATTCATTCTTACCACCAAAAGTACTTCCATATACAGGTGCAACTGGTCAGAACGTCCGCTTGATGGATGATATCACGAACCACCACCATCATGCTCAACTGTTTGTATTTGAGCAATGAGCCATATTAACCCATTAGCTCATTAATTCACTCAGGTTAAGCATGTCATGGCGATGTGCGACTCGCATTACGTCCGGGATAATTATACGCCTTATTAAATTAGTTGTACAAAATGAGCACTTATGTACGTGGATTTCAATGGTAGCTATTTGCATATCAGACCAAGTGACATGTAACCTGGCATTATTTTGCACAAAAATAAACTCGGGGATGCTATCGACATTATTTAGTAACTGTAGTTGTACCTTGTCATAGTTAAAATACAGAAAACTCTGATTATCCCTTAGTTATTTTGAGTATTGTGTTTATGAAGTTACGTGATATGTAGTTCAAATTTTATAGAAAACGAGCTGGTACCGAAACAAGTGCCGGGGGATTGAAGACAATATCTAAAGAGACATCCTTAATATCACATACTCATTATCAGTGTATTTATGTATTCTTTTAAAGACCAAATTGAAGTTCACTCATCATATGCCGGACATGTCTAGTGATTTAACACAGATCTTGTGTGTTGTTGAAATCATCTAACATCAATACTATTCCATAGTGTACTTGCTGGAATACTAAACTGTTTGTAGCCTAATTTTAGTTTGCCACAGCTGTAAATGCAATCATGAATTTTGAGAATCAAGTTCTTTAAGTTGCAGTTAGGTTTATCAAGAGAATATGAATAGACAAGGATTGTTTTTAAAAATGTATCTGTACAAAGCAGGTCACACAACAAGTTTTACTGAAGAAATAAAGTTAAGCAATGTTCAGACATTGCTCTTTTTATCACGTTGTCTTAATAAAGAGAAAAATATAGTTACTAAACTATAATTTTACTTTAAATAGTTTAGTAAAACTTTTACTAATCATATACTAGCTCCTTTTTTAAATAATTAACTTACTATAAAACGACAAAATACCCTCTTTCTATGTTGTTTAGCAGGAGCTGAAGTACTATTAAAATAGAAAATTTTCTGTATGGGTACATCGCAGGAATGAATTAATCATATCAATGGAAAACACAAAAGAGTGAATTTCAGCCGGTACAAAATATTTTTTTCTACTAAATTATAAATATCAAATAGCTGTTAAATCATAAAACAATACTAAATATCGTGGAAATGTGTATGGTATGTGTATGGTATTCGAGTACTTGCTTTGCAGATATACTGAATACTGGCATTAAACTTTCCAGAAATTCACTCATTCTAGAGTGCATCCAGACAGAAATCTTTTCAAGAGTTTACACTTAATGTGAACAATGGTCACTCGTGTTCTTGGGAGTGTTTGTAACATCATAATTTTATTTTAATTACAGTTTCCTTATACTGGTGCAGGACTTAATCCAGCTCGTGCTTTTGGACCTGCTGTTGTGGCCGGTAGATGGCGTCTTCATTGGGTAAGTTTGTTTGTTTGTTTTGAATTTCGCGCAAAGCTACACGAGAGCTATCTGAATATTTGACAGTCACATTATAACTCCTCGCCACGGCTGAAAGGGGAGAGCATGTTTGATGGGATGGGGATTTCGAACCCGCGACCCTCAGATCGTGAGTCGAGCGCCCTAACCACCTGGCCATGCCGGGCCTCATTGGGTAAGTATAATAACAGATGTCCTCTCCCAGTTCAAGTAATTGTTTAAGATATAAATAACATTGGAAGTAATTATAGAAATGGTTAGAAACTAGAGTATAAAAGGTAAATATGGAAATGGTCCCATTCATCATGTGAAAATGAACTGTACCAACTATCACATGCTGATAAATTATGATTTGATTTGTTCTTAACCAACCAATCCAAATGTGCCACATCAATAAAAACACAAGCATTCATACTAGATCCAGATGAAATAGTGTAAAACAAAGACTGAAATTTCACATAATAAATGTGTATATCAAAATTTGATCAATCAAAGATATTCATGTGAGAAATTGTGGTATGACTCTATGTTTCAAAAGGAGTTGTATGCAAAACTCTGAATCGGGTACATGAAATTGGTAGTAATGTTAATGAAAGTGATAGAAGTTGAAAACTGAAACTATAAAGAAGTGTGGTAAGAAGCTCAGGGTACGATCTTCATGAGACAGATGACGACTGAGTACATATATTGCCAACAAAAGATGTGAATGTTGTTTCGAGAACAGCGAGATACACAGAAGTACACTGCTGAGAAGAGGTGACCAAACTAAAAGGTTGAAATGTATATTGGGCCATAAACAGTGGAATGAGCAATGCTGGAGCTCTTTGAATACAATTTCGGATTGTTTAACAACAATCAATAACAGTTTGTTCGACAACATTTTAAAATTCATACGTTGACTACATATTTTCTGGTTAATTTAACCATTGTTTATGTTCAAATATTATTGTACTTGGATATTTTTGTACTACTTGTGAATCACCCAGTTAACTAATGACTGTTGTTCAGCATTCTCTTAATAAGAGTATTGAGAATACTTCGAAAGATTAAATGAACAAGGGGTTTCTACTGCAATGTATTACTCTCAAATTGTTTGTTTGTTTGTTATGAATTTCGCGCAAAGATACACGAAGGCTATCTGCGCTAGCCGTCCCTAATTTAGCAGTGTAAGACTAGAGGGAAGGCAGCTAATCATTACCACCCACCGCCTACTCTTTTACCAACGAATAGTGGGATTGACCGTCACATTATAACGCTTCCACGGCTGAAAGGGCGAGCATGTTTGGTGTGACAGGGATTCGAACCCGCGACCCGCAGATTGAGAGTTGAGCGCCCTAACCACCTGGCCATGCAGGGCCAACTCTCAAAATACAGTATCAGAAAAAAGTATCCCCAAAAGTATCTGACTTAGCACACCAAAAAAAAGAAAAGAAAAAAAAACTGCAGTAACTAATAGCAGGGGAGAAAATAGTAAACTTAGTGGGGTATTTTTAAAACTCGGCTTTAAATATCCACATGGAATTGTAATTCTTTTTTTACTTTTTTGTTTATTTGACTATCTCTTTAACTTTATAATGCATACTCGTTTAAAATTGATTTTTATTTTTTAGGTATACTGGGTAGGCCCGATCCTGGGCGGTATCATTGGTGGCTTGACATACGAGTACAGTCAAGTAACATCACAATCCACTCAACAACTGAAGCGTTCTTTCCGCCGGAAGTCAGCCAGGGAAATGATGCGTGATCACAGCGCCCTCAGTAACAATGAAACAGTGTTCACGGCTTTATCCAACGACTGTCGAGAATGATTGATGACGGAGACTTGTGAGGTGGGAAAGGAGAAGACGAGTAGAGATAAATTGAATAACCCTAAGTTAGAAGAGTTATGAACATCACCTTTAAAATTTCAAAGTCAAATCTGAAATATAAGAGAAATTTTGGTTATTAAACGACTCATAGTTACCGTATAAGTCACATATATTACAAAGAAAATAAAGTTGCAAAATGTTATGACATAAGAGACTGCAAAATTGTTTGAAAATTAGGGTTAATATTGCTGTAGACTTATTAAACATAATTGATTACCGTTTTGTTTTTACTCGGTATGTTTGAAATTAGGAATCAAAAACACAACGGCAAAGTGGAACACACTACAATCATGTTATTCTTACTATAATGTCTGCAAATATTAAAAGAGGTACAACAGTCCTCGAGCTTTTGTGGCTTCTTCATCAAAATAATAATTTGATGCCATCATATATAATATCATGTTTTTACTGTACAGATTAATCACAGATTTAATTAATAGACTTAACGTTTTAAATATATATATATATATATTAGAGCATAATTCTGTAATGTCTGCGATTTTAAATCTATGTCTACCTTGAATGTAGTACTACTATGTATGTAGTAATTAAGAAAAAAAATGTTTTCTTTGAACATGATTCGAAATATGTTTTTTATTGGTACGTGTAAGACACGAGCTTTACTTAAGTTGATAAATAACAAGGGTTATAGTTATATTTTGATCTAATCAAAAACACCTTAGGTGTGAAAAAAAAAGACGCGGCCAAAAAAGGATTGAAAGTGGGACTTAAAGGAATGAAATCAAAATTGGTGGTCAAACTGGTAGTTACACTTATAGCATTGATAAGAATTTTACCGTAAATATTCATTTTACGTTAATGTCACGTGACGCTAAATGCTCTTTAATTAAGAGAATTTCATAATATTTAGCAAACTTCTGCTTAAAAGATGGCAATGAATAAGAAAAAATAACTGTCCACCCATATGATTCGTTTACAAACTTGAGCTAGAAACTGCTAATATAATTTGCTTGGCCTAACCAATATTTATGTATCTGCACGTGTTTTCACCCTATAGTTTTGCTGCTCTAAATCAATCATCTTTAATCCGAATGATAAAAAACTAAAAGGGTGAACCTTTACTCTTAGGCAACGCTGTAGTAAAAATTCCAGACCGATACTTCACGTGACTTTTTGCGTAGGGGTGCACAAAAATGTGGTCAAAAGTGAGCGGTTTTTGTTGGATAACTTTGCACTTGTGACTTATATTTAGACCCAGTTTAACACCTATTTGTAGGTTATATAGATCTATCAGTGTAACAAATTTGAAAAAAAAATCAATGAACGTTAAGTATGTCTTTCTGTCAAATAAAATGTTCGTACTTTCAGTGAGAAGAGAAAAAAAATTAAATCAAAATTGGAGATGTTATATCTCATGTTCGATGACGAGGAACCCACTTTGAGACTAATAATGGCTGGAGACGGCTTGAATGGGTAATGAAGAAAAACTTTAATATAA